GCGCCCCCCGCGCGCCCCTCGCCAGCTTTCCCAGTGGGCCCAGCTGCTGGGCGCCCCCTGGCAGCATCTAGCGACAGCGAGGGGGCTCGAGCCCCTGCGGGCAGAGTCCACTGGATTTCTAGTCCATCACCTTAACCACTCGGCCACGCTGCCCATGCCCAAGCGCCAGCGACCTGTCGCGCCATCAGGCAAACTGTTTCCCAGGCAGCCCCGCGGTCGCGCCGCCTGCGCGCCCATAGCCTCCAGTGGGGATAGAGCCCAAGAACTTCAGTTTACAAGACTGACGCTCTGCCACTGAGCTATAGAGGCCCTGCGCCTGCGCTCCCCGGAGCGGGCGCGTCCCAGGAGAGCGGGGCGGAGGCCCAGGAGAATACGCCACGCCTGCCACGCGCTGGACGACCGCCACGGATAGCGGCAGCCCCCAGAGACCACCCCTTGCGCACCCCCTTAGGCGTCGAGAATATGCCGCGCCCGCTATGCCCTGGGCGACAGTCACGGATAGCGGCCGCGCCCGAGGGCCACCCCTTGCGCCCCCCACTAAGGTGTCGAGAATATGCCACGCCCGGCATGCCCTGGACGACCGCGGGCGGAGGGGGCCTCTGTGTCAGCAGCGGCGCTGCCGGCCTCGCGCACTCGCCGAACCTTCGCTGGCGGGCCTCGGTCGTCGTCTAAAAAAGCCTCCTGGGGTAATCCGTCCGACGCAGGGTCCCACGGGTACGCCACCAGGCACTGCCTCTTTCCGTCGTCGTTCATATCGGAGTACTTCGCGTAGAGCGCATCGGGCCACTGATTGTTAAGCTGGCGGCGGTACGCATTCAAAGCGGACTGCACCACTCCGCTGGCGCATCTGCGCGAGGTCTCCACGCTGACCTCGCCGCCCACGTGAACCATTGCAATCTTCTTCGCCAGACATGGAGGGGGCAGAGCGCCCACGGCGATTTTGGGGGGCGTGGCTGCCGCGCGCAGGGAGGGCGGTGCCTTGAAATAGAATTACAGGAACGATTGCGTGAGAGCGCAGGCGCGCCGAGCCAGCTTGAGCCAAGGCGTTTGCAAGTCTGGATAAGACGCGAGTTCTCGCCCGCGGAACCCCCTGCCCCATGCGCAGCTCTCAAGGCTCATGAAAATGCCGCGCCAGTCGCGCCTTGGGAGCACGAACCGGGTACCCGGGAAGAGGTCGAGAGTTGGTGGGGCTGCGGCATGAAATTTGAAAGCGCCGCGCCTGCCGCGCTGTGGCACATGCGCCGGGGCACTTCGACAGAAGCCAGGGGCGTGGCCTCAATGGCCCAAGTCGCGTTCCCAGCGACCCTGCAACGCATGGCGCCCCCACCCCCAGCACACCCTCTGTGGCGTCGAGGAAATGCCGCGCCTGCCACGCCCTGCAAGCCTGCAGCGCATAGCGCCCACACCCCCAGCGCACCCCCGCGTCGAGGAAACACCGCGCCTGCTGCGAGCCTGCAACGCATAGCGCCCCCACCACCAGCGCACCACCTGCGGCGTCGAGGACATGCCGCGCCTGCCACGCCCTGCGAGCCTGCAACGCATGGCGCCCCCCCCCCCCCCGCCACACGCACCACCTGTGGCGTCGAGGAAATTGCCGCGCCTGCCACGCCCTGCGAGCCTGCAACGCACGGCGCCCCCACCCCCAGCGCACCACCTGTGGTGTCGAGGAAATGCCGCGCCTGCCACGCCCTGCGAGCCTGCAGCGCATAGCGCCTGCATTCAGCGCACCCCTGTGGCGTCGAGCAAATGCCACGCTTGCAAAGCCCTGCGAGCCTGCGACGCATAGCGCCTCCACCCCCAGCGCACCACCTGCGGCGTCGAGGAAATACCACACCTGCCATTCCCTGCGGGTCTGCAACGCATAGCGCCCCCACCCACAGCGCACCACCTGCGGCGTCGAGCAAATGCCGCGTTTGCCACGCCCTGCGAGCCTGCGACGCATAGCGCCTCCACCCCCAGCGCACCACCTGCGGCGTCGAGTAAATGCCACGCCTGCCACGCCATGCGAGCCTGCAGCGCATGGTGCCCCAACCCCCATCAAACCACCTGTGGCGTCGAGCAAATGCCGCGCCTGCCACGCCCTGCGAGCCTGCAACGCATGGCGCCCCCACCCCCAGCGCACCACCTCTGGCGTCGAGGACAAGCCACGCCTGCCACGCCCTGCGAGCCCGCAACGCTTGGCGCCCCCACCACCCCCAGCGCACCCCCTGTGGCGTCGAGGAAACGCCACGCCTGCCACGCCCTGCGAGCCCGCAACGCTTGGCGCCCCCACCACCCCCAGCGCACCCCCTTGTGGCGTCGAGGAAACACCGCGCCTGCCACGCCCTGCGAGCCTGCAGCGCATAGCGCCCCCACCCCCAGCGCACCCCCTGTGGCGTCGAGGAAATGCCGCGCCTGCCACGCCCTGCGAGCCTGCAACGCATAGCGCCCCCACCCCAAGCGCACCCCCTGTGGCGTCGAGGAAATGCCACGCCCTGCGAATATTGCGCGTATGTGTTGTGTGGTGTGCGTTTCGTGTGTGTGTGTGTGTGTGTGTGTGTGTGATGCGTGTGTGGCTGTATCTGGACGTGTGTGTGTCAGTGTGTGCCCAGTATGTGGCGCATACGTCGTGGGTGTATGATGCAGTGAACACGCCAGGCGTGCACTGGCGGTGTTAATGTTGTCTCATGTGGGTGCCAAGTACATGTGCTGTGTGTAAATGTGCTGTATGCGTGCTGCGTGTATATGTGCAATCGGCGCTATGGCAAGTGAGCAGGAGAAAGAGAGGGAGGAGGAGGAGACGCGAGCGAGACGCTGTGCGTGTGTGTATACGTGCGTGTATATGTGTGTCTGTAGGGGGTGAGGTGATGAGGGAGATGAGGTGTGTGTGGGAGCGTCGAGGATGGGACGCGGAAGGAAGAATACCAAGACCCCACCAAACATGCGGGGAAACATACGTGCATGGACATCGGAGTAGTGGAATGGAGTTGCAGAGAATCAAACGGAATTGGGAGCGCCAGTTCTAGAGCGACTGCATACGAAAGTCAGGAGAGGTAGGTCCATGTGGGGGAAACGCGCACACATACACACACACGTATGTATACACATATGGCAACAACATACAGGACGACATCCTGCATATGTAAATACATACGTGTGTGCATAGATGCTATGCGAATTAAATATACAATGCGTAAGCAGAGGAAGCGGAGAAGCAGGAGGAGGAGGAGAAGGCTGAAGTCGAGCCTGTTCAATAATCATCGCGCGCTCGCGCGGGCCACACTCACATGTCTTCGCTCGCTCACGTCAAAACCTTTCGAAAACCATGCGTGGATAAACAGATGTGGTCTAACACATGCGGCAAAGCACTGGCTTCTTTAAACCATTTGAAAGTGCAAGGGATTTGGAATCTGTGCGCCCAAACACTTCCCCACCATCATCACCACCATCACCAGCACCATGCTTATCAGCATCGCCAACGTCATCAATGCCACTACCGTCTTCATCATCATCCTCATCATCGTCATCACCATCCTCATCATCATCATCACCAACACCATCACCATCACCATCGTCGTTGTCATCAACCATCATCTTCGATGTCGTCGTCATTTTCAGATGTTCCTCGCAGGCACTTCCTCCTCATCCCCACCAACACTACATCATCATCGCCGGCGTCCTCATTTCTACCGTCGGTACCACCACCATCACCATTGCCATCATTGACGCCATCCCCACCGCCGTCATGCACATGACCATCGTCATCGTCGTCGTCGCCCTAATGAGCTGTGCTAACAAGTTGCGGGTGGACGCGCGCCAGGGATTATACTAGCCGGCCGCTCTGCGGTTGATCGGGAGTTTCTGTATATAGAAGAAGGTGCGTGCGCTTGTTGGCGAGGGTGAGGATGAGGTTCCTCCTCCTCCTCCTCCTCCTCCTCCTCCTTGGAGAAGGGGCTGGTCCATTCTGAAGTTGCCTTGGGTCAGATTCGGGCTTTCTTGGGTAGCCGCTTGGGGCCACTTCGGGACCCCTGCGGGCCTCTTGGGAGCGGTTGGTGGGCTCGGGGGCCGCATGAGGGTGTTTTGGGGGTGCTTGCGGTACTCTTAGGGCCGTATATTGGGGACTCGGAAGCGCTCCGTGGACCTTCTGGGAGTATCCGAGACTCATCTCGGAGATATCCTGAGCTTGAGAGGAGAGAAGTTCAAGCAGGTGCAGAAGCGATGGGAGCTTACACGATTTGACGTCCCGTGGACGCCTTCTCAGTCAGATTGGGGGCGTTTTGGGGACGCATTGTGGGGCCTGGCGGGTAGTCGTGGAGGCTTGGGCACCTGGCCGTCTGCCATCGACGGTACACTGGGGAGAGGTGGCCGAGTGGGGGAAACTGGGCGGGGGAGACTGGGGAAACATCTGGACGGCCGTCCAGGGAGGAGGAGGAGGAGGAGGAGGAGGAGGAGGAGGAGGAGGAGGAGGGAGGAGGGAGGAGGAGGAGGAGGAGGAGGGAGGGAGGAGGAGGAGGAGGAGGAGGAGGAGGAGAGGAGGAGGAGAGGAGGAGGAGGAGGAGGAGGAGAGGAAGGAGGAGGAGGAGGGGGGCACGGTCGCACGGTCGCAATGATTCCTCGGGAGATCATGCCTGGGGGGGGGCGCAGGGGGAGGCCTCCAAGGGAGGGATGGGGGGCGGCGCCGCACGGTCGGTCGCACGGCGGCACGCTCGGAGGAATCCTGCGGGGAGGGCGCTGGGGGACGGGAGGGGCGCCAGGCGGTCGGTCGCACAGTCGCACGATCGAAAGAACGCAGTGCGAGAGAACAGCAGCAAGTGGTGTGGCACTGGGACCCCCTTTGCTCGCCCAACTCATCTGCCCGCGCCATATTCGATGCAGTCCGAGGCGATCTGAGGCTGCTGGTGACCACTTGAAAGCCGAGCAGCGCATTGCCGCGACAAAGGTGGTCCCCCACAGAAATTGCACGTACAAAGGAAAAAGGGGAGACAACAGCGGCAAGGTCCGGCGAACGCTGGGATGGCGGCTCGCGGCTTGCCCGTGTGATTGCTGCCACCCTGTCAGCTTATTTGATCATCTAACGCGCACTGGTGGCGTCACACCCGTGCCTGGACAGTTCCAGGACGAGGAGCAGCAGCAGCAGTAGCAGCAGCAGCAGCAGGAAGGGAGCGAGGGGAATGAGGGGAGAGACATTTGACGCGCTACAAAAAACCTGCTCAATTCAATTCCCTGCGTACGAAATCACACCAACCAACGGCTCCGCTTCTCTCAATGCCTCTGCTTCTCGTCGCCTCTCTGCCGCGCCATCATTCAACGTTTCCTCCTCCTCCTCCTTCTTCTCCTCCTCCACCTACCCCTCCTTCTCCCCGCTGCCAGTCCCTTCTGCAGTCTGTGCAAGCGGGATAAATCATGTTTTTTTTCCGCGGGCAGTCGTCGCCAACAAAGCAGCAGCGACGCAATAAAAGCGCCGTACCGCTCCGTGACACACAGCGCTGCGACACTCCAGTCGGAAGCTCCCAGCCATGGGGTGGACGACGCATTGGCCTTTGCAGCGGATGGTGAACAGCTTGGAACCCGTCTGGCGGGCCAAAGAACTCCTCCTCCTCCTCCTCCTCCTCCTCCTCCTCCTCCTCATCGTCATCGTCATCGTCATCATCATCATCATCATCATCATCATCATCATCATCATCATCGTCATCATCATCATCATCATCTTCATCATCATCATCATCATCACCGCCACCACCATCATCATCATCATCATCAGCAGCATCATCATCATCACCATCATCAGTATCGTCATCATCAGCATCATCATTGAATCACTATCACCATGACCATCACCATCACCATCACCATTACCATCACCATCATCATCACCACAACCATCACCACCACCACCATCAACAGCAGCAGCACCATCATCACCATCATCACCATCATCTGCATCATCATCAGCAATTTCGTCATGATCATGGTCATGACCATGATCATTATCACCATCACACTCACAAGCACCATCACCATCATTATCACCATCACCATCACCAACACAACCATCATCATCATAATCAGCATCATCGTCATCAGCACCGTCATCATCATCATCATCATCATCATCATCATCATCATCATCATCATCATCATCATCATCATCATTCTCATCATCATTATCATGATCACCACCACCATGTTCAGGATAGTGAGGATGAGGATTATCATCCTCATCCTCATTATCCTGAGCATCCTCACTTTTTATATGCTTGCCAATGCGCCGTCTGTGCGCCAGGATTGTCTGACTGCCTGACACCACCACCACCATCATCAACAACAGCGTCATCATCATCAGCATCCTCGTCCTCCCTACGTACTCCTCGTCACTCGCCTCCTTCCCCTCTCATCCTTTCATCGTTCCTTCCTTCTCCTTCCCCCCTCCCCCCCTTTCTGCGGAGGGGCAGATGTCTGTAGCTGATAAAAAAAACGCTCCTTCTCCTCTGCCTCGTCCTCGTCCTCGTCCTCGTCCTCCTCCTCCTCCTCCTCCTCCTCCTCCTCTGTAGCGATGTTGGCTCAAGCCATAAGCCATTTTGGCTCAAGTGGTCTGCGGCCACTGGCTTTCAACGGATGCCGCTGTTACCGCGGCTGCTTTCAATTTCTCCGCCTGGTCTGCCCCAAGTGCGGAACTCTGACTCAGTCAGCCGAACCGTCAGCCCATGGGCCGCAGCGGCGCCAAGGGCAATGGCGGCGCGTGCGGCAAAGGCAAGGACAAGTCGGGCTCCTTCGTCTCGTGTACGCAGTGCCGTTATCGCTGGAACTTCAAGTCCAACCACTGGTGCTACCAATGCTTGTCGCCGCTGGTGCCGAACCCGTCGCCCGACAAGAAGCCTGCTGGCCAGTGGTCGTTTGGCCCGCCCGCGCTCGCGACGAACCCCTTTGAGGAGGCTGCCGACGCGGCCGCGGCGCCCACGGCTTGGCGCAAGGGCCCGCTTGAGCTGCCAAGGGCGGTCACGTCTCCCGTCGGCCTTGGGTTTGGAAAGGGCCTGGCTGGTACCCCTACGGCGGCGGCTCGCCTGCAACTGCAGAGGAAAAGGAAGCTCCCGCGGTGGACCCCCTCGAGCTCCTGCGCGCCGAGCTGGGGGACTGCGCCGAGCTGGCGGCCCTCATTGCCAAGAGAGAGAGAGAGAGAGAGGAGGCCCAGGCGCGGCAACCCGCACATGCACCTCGTCGGGCGCCGCTTTTGGAAGAGGAGGTCTCCACCAAGGGCATTGCGTGCAGGCGCGCGCAGGCATGGCTCGAGACCTGCGCCGCGCGGGTGCTGGAGGCCGAGGCATGGCTGGCCGCTGCTAAAGCTGAGGAGGACACCGCCACGGCAGCAGCTGCCGCCGCCCCCGTTGGAGGGCGAGGAGGACCAACTCGAGGCACCCGCTGCTTCGGCCATCAACCTCTCCACCCTCGTTGACGAGGGCGCGTTGCAGATCGTCGATGGGCCGCTCTTCGACTTGGAAGGGCTCGAGATCGACAGCAGCAACAAGGACGAGTGGAGCCGCATCAAGGCCGAGCTCGCGGCCGGCGTCCAGGAGAAGCTGCAGCAAGCCCTCGGCCCAGCCGCAAAGCAAATCGTCAAACTCCGCGAGGAGGCCAAGAAGCTGCACGCCAGGCTGCAGTCCAAACGGCGCCGCGGCCCCGACAGCGAGGCCACGGCAGCCGACGGCTCAGCGGCCGCGGCCCGCGGCATCGTGGCTGCCCCCGCTGTTGCTGCCCCTCCTGCTGTGCCAGATGGTACTGGGGTGGCGGTGCGCGACCTCAGCGGCCCCGAGGCCTTGCGGGCGGCCGCTCGAGCCAAGGCTGCCCAGGCCGCCGAGGCCAAGGCCCGGGCCGCCTCCGAGGCCGCTGAGCCCGCAGGCCAGAAGCCTCTTTGACCAGAGGTGTCAGCCGAGGCTGTCAAAAGACCAGGGCCCAGCACGGCGGCGCGCGGTGCAACACCGACAGCTGCTGAAGAGTAGACCGAGGGCCTACACCCAGACTTGGATGCAAGACCCTGCGGTCCTGGACGAGGAAGGCGACGAGGCGCACTCCATGGCGTCCTGTGACGAGTTCGTCGCAGCGTGGTTGGCTCACCCTGCTTACCGTCACTTCACTGACGACGCGCTCCAGGGGGCAGGTCATGACAACGCAGCGATCGCACGGCTGGACATCGCCAGGGACATTTGGACCTCCGCCTGGAGGGCGCGGAGGCGCACGCGCGCCAACTACCGCGGCAACCTGCAGCGGCTCCAGCAGACGGACCGAGAGGCGCGGGAGCAGGAGCTCGCACGCCAGGGGAGGTCCATGGCCACCGCCATTGAGATCTTCGACGAGCGCGGCCCACCTACACCCAGGAGGGATGCCATCGAGTTCGTTGTCGAGCCCCCCTTCTGCGGACGGCCTTTCCTGCGAAGTGTAGTAGCGGGCGATGCTGGAACCAGTATTTCGCCTTCCCCACCGCGGTCGGCCAACAGTAGTCTTCGACTCGGGCATGGCGATCAGGCCGACCGCGAAGGCCCGCCCTCGGCTGCGGCAATCGAAGAAGGTAAGGGCAGATCTCCATCCCCTACGGCATCGCCCAGGAGTTCGGCTACGGCCAGCGCGGCGGCGGCTGCTGGCGCGGCCGTGGCCACCTCCCCCAAGCTCACCCTAGGCCCTCAACCCCTGCGCGCCCCAGGGGGGGGGTCGGGAGCTTCGAGTGGGAAGAGCAGGGGAGCGAGCCGCGGCGCATGCACGGGGACGGGCCCGTCTTCTTCGATGTCCACCTGCGCTCCCGCTTCCACGGCTACTCCGATTTCCACGTGGGCCTCGGTTTCCTCGGCGTCACCAGGGGGGCCCTCAGCGAGCCCATCAGGCGTTAGAACGCAAATCCCGACGCTCCTCGAACAAGTTCACCGTCGCAGCTTTGCCGGGGCTATAAAGCACAAATCCCGACATTGAGGTTGGGTTCGCAGTCGCCACCACCGCTTGTCACCGACGCGGATGATCACGGCGTTACAGAGCAGCACCTCTCTGAGGCTCCACTAGGGAGTCCCTCCCCGAGCCCATCAGGAATTAGAACGCAAATCCCGATGCTCCTCGAGTCGGGTTCACCGTCGCAGTTTTGCCGAAGCGCCAGAGCGCAAATCCCGACGGATACGTTGGGTTCACAGTCGCCACCGCTGACATTCTGCACCGGCGCGCAGGATCACGGCGTCAGAGCGCAGGGCCCGTCTGTGGTCTCACATTCGCAGGCTCCAGTCAACGGAGAGTTTCGGCGCACTTGTGACGACGGCTACCACGACCCCTTTGACGACCTGGACCAGGGGCTGCAGGACGCGGAAGACGACGCGGCCTTTCAGCTCCAAGGAGATGCCCCAGCGGAGCCGACTCCACCGAACAGTAAAGTGATGGACGAGACCCCTCTGGTACCTCCAGCACCAACCTGGAGCCCTCGGGAACCTGAGAAGCGGCAGCCGGACCATGCGCACATCTTCTTCGGAGACGTTGCCGAGCGGGGTCCCAAAGCTCAGGGTTTCTCCCGAGGAGTGGGCCAACAATTCGAGGTTTTGGCACTGGCGGAGACCCACGTCAGTTCCCTGCAGATGCCGAAGGCCCAGCTCGACTGAAGATCGCGGCCACACCCGCAAAAGCTTCGGTCAAATCCAAATTGGGTACTCGCGGAGGCGAGTGGGCGCTGGCCAAAAGGCACCTGGCAACGACGCAAGCGAGGGCGCCCCTTTCGGGGCTTCTGCCCGCTAACATTACACCTACGCAAAGGGGGCGTGGTCATCATCACCGCCTACCTTTTCCCAGGCCAAAAGTTGGGAGGCGACAGCGCTCCGAGGGTGAAGGCGCTCACGGCCTTCCTGGCTACCCTCGCGGACCCGTGGCTGGTCATGGCGGACTGGAACATCAGCCCCAAGGACCTGCAGCAGTCGGGCATCCTCGGGGTCTGGGACGGCGAGATCATCACCCCCAGCGACGTCGAGCACACCTGCACAAAAGGGGACAGCGCCTCCTTGATCGACTACCTGGTAGTCAAGCGAGGGTTCCA